ATTGGTTGTGGATGGAGTCCGTGGGCCTTCGGTCCAGGCTTTCGGATCTTTGCCGGATCTTGACCGCCATGTCATCGCCGTCCATCACGCTCACCTAAAAGTTAAATAGGAAAAATAGGGAAATAAAAAAATCTGCTTAGCTCTTAAAAAAAAAAAAATGTTAATGCTTTTTTTTTTCCCTTTTCTTTCTCTTTAGCTATGAGGTCTATAATTAACTTAATCAAATAATTTATATTAATAAAAATTTGTATTGTTCGTGCCGAAGAAAGAAATAACAACTATACTGGAGACAGTAACAAGTGTCTATTACTTGAGTATAAGCTCTCATGATTTTAAGCTTTTCAGAAGGTCTCTTACCAATGGAGAGAGTATTGTTTTATTATAAACGCATGATTATTTCCTAAATTAACCGATGTAGGACTTTCATCCAACACCTCCCCTTGAACAAAGTACGTCTCCCCTTAATCGAGACTCGACTCCTTTTTCTTTTGGAGTCGTTTGTTCGACATTTGAGAATTCTACTGACATGGTTAAGTTTAGGTCGTGACTCTGATATCGAGTTAAAAATTAAAAAATTCTAGTACAATGTTAATAAGAAACATAAGTGGAATTGAAAGTCCAAGAAACATAGGTGGGATCGAAAATGGTAGATTGTGAGATCACACGTCGGTCAAAAATGGGAATGAAGGATGTGAAAACCTTTCCTTAAAAAACATGTTTTAAAAATCTTGAAGGAAAATCTATAAAGAAAAGTTCAATGAGACAACATCTGTTAGCGATGAATTCGAGTTGTAATACAATCGTACTGCGACCGTTCATTCGATATGGTTAATGTTTGTCGATATATTTTAATTTATCTAATTGACTTATTTTATATTAAAAAAAAAAAAAAAATTTGGTTGAGAAAAGAATCTTGACCAATGAGGAGCCTTCAAATTTTTAAATATTATCATAAAGCCAATAATTATAAACAATAATAATAATAAATAAATAAATAATAAAAGGGAATTTGTAAGAAGGGTATCTTTTGGGCGTGGGATGCACGTGACTGACTGTCGGGTGAATCACTGAAACCCATGCAGTTGTCCACAAAATTCTATTTTTACAGATTTAATTTTGATTATTTTAAAAATTAGGATTTTAATGGTTGAAATTTTTATCTAAAATTTTCACGAGTCGAGAGGGTGGCAGAGCCGATTAATAAGTAACACGTTATTACACTTTAAAATCTCAAATAACTCAATGAGACGTGGATTCGACTTTTCTTATTGTCTAAACCTTTGAACTCTCTTCGTCGAAGCTTCTTTTAGAAATAGATGATGGTCCACTACGAGCTCCAAATCCTTACTCCTCGTGTCACCCTAGTTTTTCTGTCTACTTTATGTTGCTTTCATCCTACTTGTAATTTTTTGAATCCCGTCATTCATGACTTGGACTGACTTGAGGTGATAGCAACAGACGTTCACTTACCGAAGACCTACACCTCTTCCTATATAGGCTCAATGTCTTCTAAAGTTTGATTCAATTGTTCTATCTGAACATCTACTTGTGGGTAAAAATTCGTGCGAAAATCTAAACAAGTGCTTCAAGCGTTCTATAAACTTCTCATTGTCGAAGAAAATTGAGGCAAGCACTTGTGCAACCGAAATATCTTTTCCATGTATAACTGTGTTCAATTCTCAATCGAGTTTGACTTGGTGAGTCAATTGATATGACCCAGATCAAAAGCAAACCTCTAGCCGTTCTCACTATGGCACGTTCAAAGGATGCAACATCTCTTCTCGTTGCCTCGACACTTTCACTTGCTAACATACTATATTATCTATCTCTTTATGGTATGCCACCAGTAATACTGCTTTAAATCCTGATATTTCTTTAAACTATTTACATGCACCAAAAATGTAGAATTGTGAACCTAAACCAAAATCACATCACTGAGCTTATCACTATCGAGCACATGTAGAGTTTCCTTTGTCAAAGAAGACCATTATGAGAACAGGGGACGCTCAAGTGACATGTAGATATAATGAAATTAGTTTTCCTCTTAAAAAAAAAAAGAATTAATTAAACGAGTGACGTGAAAGAGCTTCATCTCTTTGGGTGATGACTCGAGCAAAGGAGCTCGTGTAATCCTTCACTCAAACAAAAATTTTCCTTATAAGAATCTTTCACAGAGCTGAAACCATTCACGGTAGCTAATATCAAAACTTTATTGATATTTCACATTATTTTTTTCTTTAATCTCGAGATAACAATGAATGACATCATCACGTAACATTGTATAGTTCCTGTAGGACACCATATTAGTCCAAAGTACAATATTCTAGTCGATAACAAAGAAAAGTTACCCGAGTAAAAAAAAATCGCTATCAAATGTCAAAAGTAAAGAACAAATCGAATCTATTTAGATAAAATTAATTTTAATTGTTATAAAAACTATCTAAGTAGTAAAAAAATAGTATATCAAATATATATATATATATATATATATATATATATATATATATATATATATATATATATATATAT